AAAAAGACTTATCATATAGCTTAAGAGTGAATTGCATAAGCTATGTGTAAATGCAGAGTAATCATGGAAGATTGTAATCCGAGCTCAAGCGATCACAATTACAGAACAAAGTGACGCTATCGAAGCTATAATTAGAATAGCCATAACATCAATTCATAATTGAAACTGGCCAATAGCAAGCACTGAACTTGTTGCAATCAACCACAAAGGTCCTCAAACGTAAGTACTAATAAAGTTATAATAGAGCAGTTTCAAAGTACCAGTATAGCTCAGCTTAAACCGAATTAAATTTAGAAAATTATTTCTAGAAGGGTTTGTTTCTGCTTTCATCCTAAAGTAGTTTTTCCTCTATAAAACAGCTGTTTTAACCCACTGACAGCGGCTGACACGCATATAGGTCGTATATACGGCACGACACGGTGTGCGTAAGAAAAAAGTGCAAAATATACACGTGCCAGCCACAATCAATGGTTAATCCAAGTGACAAACTAACAGCAGCACAATTTTAATCTTAGGTGAAACTGTGGTAAATATTACAGGCCGATACCTCATGTGACTGTTTGCAGGGGCGTGCGAAGAAATGGAGAAATGGTCAAAATGGAGCTGTTTTTTTTTAATAACTTTACACAGGTGGTTTATATTCAGACCAAATTTGGTTCATGATTCTAGAGGCTCGTTTTTATCATTTTTCCTTGTGGCTTTACGGGTGCAGGAGACTGCAATTGATAAAACTACAGATAAGCATCTTTGTCTCCTCTTGGTAAATGAGCTATTTTCACAGATAGGTCATGACAGTGCATCCACTTACCATCTATAGACAGAATACTGCTATACTGGCTACCAGATTTACACGTATAAACCAGGTAAAGTGCCGATCTAATACTACATGTACAACCATCCATAGTCATTGTGCTTCTTGGTACCTTCTTAACGTTCACTTTACATACTGACCACTTTCTGTGTATTGCATACTGAACATCTAATTGAAAGAGCTACAGCTGACTGCTTTGTACTATTTGCACTTGCTGGTTCTATACACAACAACACACACGTTACAGTGATCCGTGGTCAGAACCCACTCTTGGGCCCACTTAAGCAATTCATCCCTTGTCTTCTTCTTAACATTGGTAGGAATAAATAGAGGCACAAATTGTGGTACAACCTCTGTGATTTCAAGTGTGTTGCAATTGATGCGCCTGATCTCCCATTGAAAAACATTACTTAGCTTTAAACTTATGTCTGTTAAGTGTTACACCATTACAAAAAAAAATTGTTGGGTCCAGTGCTGTATGTTGGTTATATGAAATACCCAGTTCCTCAGAGAGTTGAGAACAATATAGAGCATTACCATCACCATGATCATAAGAACCACTCAGTGCATTTAATGTTGCACTTCTTCCAAATTTATTACTTTCATGCACTCCTTTTCAAAACAGCATTCACGATGTATTAAAGATGATGAACTGGCAGATACGTAGGACGATTCATACATTTTATAGATGGCCTTCTGCATGCATCAGTGTATGTCTGCTTAACCTGCACCAAATTGAACCAAACAAGGAAATAATAAAGATTGGTTTCCTCCAGTTCACTTGGCCTGTTTAGATAGTACATATCAATCCAAGTCAGTGTGAATATGTACATTGATTCCGGATATAGATTTTAGTTTTCTCCTTTCCCCTTCACCATGTACCTCTGGTACCAGCAGCATGGTATTAGGGTCAGTGTCTTAGTTTCGAATGCTCTGTATTGTATCAGCAGTCACTAGTGCCTTACATTCCCTAGGTGACAGACTTCTGTGTGTCAAGTTCCACAGTCTGCTGAACAGGGACTTGGTAGATGAAATGTCATCAAAAGCCTTCTGAACATGGCTCTTTTCTGCTAAATTAGTGCAGAACCAATTCAGCACTGCAGCTCATTCACATATCAACTGAATACCTATGTTCCGTTCTCAAGCCAGCAGCACAGTGGAATTGAAGTAATTGATTCTACAGTCATGCAGTCAAAACCAAGCCTTTGTACACTTTCATCCTGCCACAGCTTCGACCACATCATGCAGTACAAACTTGTCACTTTGTAGTCTGGGAAAACCAAACCTGCATGGCTTTCACACACACACTGGTGTATGTTTTTTTTTTCTCATAAACAATAACTGTTGCACTTATGCTATTGGAACCATTGCATGCGTGCAATGTGGTACAGACTGCTATCTGGAATGTGACAACTGACTTACTGACATACTTTCTCAGGAAAGTGCTTAAATCTTCATCAGAGGTTTCACCAAACACATGGGGTGTCAATTCAAATGGACATATGGAAATGCTGCATGCCTCTACTTTGTATTCTCTCTGGCAAAGGTAGTTCACAACCTTATCCAATGGATTATCATCTGTCAGAGTAAACTGTACAAAGGCCTTAAACTTGTTGTCAATAAACCTTGAGGCTAATACAGGATATGTTGCAAGCAGATTGTACTCACAATAATAAACCATGTTCCTGGTCTATGATGTTGAGTCATGCACAATAGCACAGTGAAAGGTAAAATCTTCATTATAGGTTACAACTAGACTTGATGATGGTAACTGTGTTACCGAAACTAATCGGCTATAACATACAATTAATATTTTGCCTTTCATTGTGCCAAAAAATGCCGTTTTTGTGTTTCTTGCTCTTACAATAGTAGCTCAATTTGTCTGAAAAGAAATTAAGGATGGACGATGTTACAGGGTGTATCTTGAGATTATCCAAGGGATCGATAGGATACAGCCCTATAATTTATTTGTGCTGTGTTTTAAAAATAATACGACAAGAGGACACAAGTTTAGATTTTGGAAAAGAAAGGCTGGGCTACAGTTGACATAATTTTGTTATTATAAAAGAGTAATTGGCTTATGAAATAAGTTTCCATTGTCGAGACTGGAGGCCAGTACATTCAGGAGTTGCAATAATATCCTGAAATATTTTATTTCACTTTTTATGGTCTGATCGCGGATTTGAATCTATTCCCCGAATATGTTCGTCCTTTTAGTCGTGGGGGCATTATAATGTGACGCTCAACCTCATTTGTCGTTGGTAAAGGTTAGCCCAACAGCTGCGGTGGTTGGTTTTGACTCTCTGCCTTTCCTCTAGCCTGTTACTTCTAAGTTAAAGATAACTAGCGCAGGTAATCCTAGATAGCTTTATGTGAAATTCAACTAAACAAAAAACATTATTATTTTTCTCAAGGCTGGGTGTACAAGGATAGCCTTCAAGGTTCAAATGGTCCTTTCTCCATATATTGTGTAGATTACCAAACTATTTTCAAGCGAATAAAAGGGAAAAAAACATTCTATCATGGCAGATAATTTGTAAGAAGGTTTCAATATTCTAGTCCATATGGACGTATATACAAACCCAACAACTAGGACAATAAAAGGAAACAGGAACACTCATACGAGTTACTGAATGGCAGCAATAACGTGTTTTGATTGGATACGTATCTTCAAAGTAAAACCAATACAAGGCTGAAGATGCACTAGTTCCAATAAGATTTTGAAGAGTAGTGATCTCTCGCTTTTTCTTTTGATTAATCTAAAACATATTTTCTGAACACAATGCAGCATATATCTAAACTTATTTCTTCATTGTTAAAACATGATTTTTGTACAGTATAAATACCCATATATAAACTGTACTTATTTCCTTTCTTGTTTTTCTTAGCAGTGTAGTAAATGTCTGCAGCCAATTCATTGAGGTCTTATTTGGGAAAGAGAGTATGTTAAGAAAAACAGTTGTCTTGGGAAAACTCGAATAAGGTGTAAATCGACTATTTCTTCATCGATCAAAAGAAGTGCCAGATGATCGTTCTATCCCTCACAGGAATAAACTGTCTATTCAAGTGTTTCCAATCTTATTGCAACACATTGCGGTGTCGATTGCCAGACCAATTAGAACTTCCAACCCTTGACTTCGTACGTTTGTAATCCCAGAGAAACATGCCTCGTGATTCTCAGATCTTTTCCAAGTTGAAGCCCACAGGATTATCATCGGTAGAGTTGAATCCTATTTCCCAGCAATTTGATATTGGAAAGCAAGTAGGGAGCGCTGGACCGGAGCTTATTTGGAAGATATATGATGCTGTAAAAAAATCTGAGAAAAAGGTAAGAGGTAAATTATATATATATATATATATGTATGAATCGCTAAAAAAGATGAGAAGATATGTTTATACATATACATAAATAAGGAAGTTATAAATAGCTTTAATGTTAGATCTTGACATAATTTATTAACACTGATATCAACCCATCATATAAAGAATAAAACGAATGATTTATTCTAGTTTTTTTGTTTGTTTTTGAAATAGATATATACATACATCTTGATATCTCCCATTACACTGCTAAAGGTGTTCGTACAGCTTCCTTTTTTGGCTTCACTAAAATTGGAAATTAATAAGTAACATTACCGAAAAAAAAACCCATGCAGATATTAATATTATACATTTTGTGAATAACCACCATATTCCTATAATTTTTAAAGTTTGAGAAGAATAGTGCAACTGCTTAGAGAGTTAAAATTTTTCTTGAGGCACCTGGTTAACAATGCTATATCTCTTTTATAATGAATAAATTACTCATACTAATTCGATGACGAGGAACCCACTTTGAGACTAATAATGGCTGGAGACGGCTTGAATGGGTAATGAAGAAAACTTTAATATAAGTTTAACATAACAGCAAATGTACAACGTTTCGAAAAAACAATGACAAAACCTTGTCTTCTAGCGTGTTTTGACACTTCTTTATGATTTCAAGCCAGTATAATTGAAATGGTTTTACTTGGAACACCCAGTAGAAGTGTTTCTTAATTATATTTTGTCTCTTTGATGTTAAGCACAAAGCTGTGCCCCAAAAGGTTATCGAAACACGGTTTTTAGTGTTATAAGCCTTCAGACTTGCCGCTATGCTATCGGGGATCTAATTATAATTATATGATATTCGTAAAGCAGTCATTGTTTTATCCTTGTGGAGAGCATACTCTACTAGAAGTTTCTGGATATATATACTGTATATAAATATGCAAGTTTGAAACTGAGATCATTAAAACAAATAGTTCATTAACAGTTCCAATTGAAAGCTAGGAAATGGAAACTATAGTACTTTTAGATGTATATAATTTAACACTAACAGATCTATACTAAGTGTTTAATAATCACATAAGAGACCCAAAATAACTTTTCAAACAGTGTAAATGCTTCGTGTAACGTCATATAATCATTGAGCTATATGCTTTCATATATCTTAGACCTTAATGGTCTGACGTGCAAAAAAAAATAAAATAGATAAGAAAGCAAACGTTTGTTGAAAAAATTGTCATCTTTGTACACAATAATAAAGATTTTCAAAAACAAATAAAAAGTTCTATCTAAGCACTAAAGCAAAAATAACTAAGAAACAAAGAAAACAAACCGTCGAAAATAAAATATATCCTTGTTAGTTCCAATGTTTGTATAACATGAGAAAGTATTTCGTTGTTTTTATTCGATAAATTCTAATCACACATATACACACGTATCTATACTTGTAAAGAAGAGTTTTCTGTCTGCCTGGTGTCACAATATCATGTAGGGCACTAAGTGGTTTACCAATTACCAAGAAACTCTTTAGTGGAATGATAGTGTTTTTTTCGGAGGTTGAATTTAAATGTATAAGTAATCAGACGAATGGTTAGAGCCTGGCAGCCATTTAAGTTCTACCGCCTTGATGCAACGAATGAGGACTCAATTTAGAGAGGAGGTCTTGAGCAAGATTACGTGAAACCGGCCCCAAATGAAAGTGACATTTAAAACCACATAAAACATGGGTATTTTGCATTGCACAAACCGATTGTGTGATACGGTTCAAAATAACGGATATTGCAGGGTACCTTTGCTAGTTCACACACACACACATATATTCATATGGATATATGTGTTATAAAACAAGAAATTTATGTAAGTTTAACTTACCTGGTGTTAAGGTTTTATGTGTAAAATGTGTTTATATACACTTAGAGAGCTGTTGAGTTATAATACTTGCCCTCAATACCCAAGTTTTGAAAACGTCGCTAAATTTGTTGTTTCTTACAGAATAAATCAATTGGTTTGTCATTTCTGACCAGACCATTCAGCTCAAAGTTTCTTTTGTACTGAAGCTGTTTGGTGGGTATAGGTCTAACCTCACTATCATTGAAACGCCCCTCACGACCATGAGATTCGTTCAGAAATTTACCTGAACAGTAAGTAATAAACGTATATTTGTTACGAACTTAAGCTTATAATAAAGCTTATTGCATTCAAGTTATTTTGAAACTATATTGTTAAAAGTGAGATCTTCGTCGTCAAAAAAGTTTATGTTGGATGCTAATGACATTCATTTTGTTTATAGATAAATAATTGAACTTAAATTATATGTCCAATATTTATAATAATCATTTTAGAAATTTTAAGTGCATAATTTTATCATTACTACATTGACTTTTTATGTGAATCATAGTTATAACCCTCTCAAAACTAAAGTGTTTAGAAATTTTCAGTACTTAAATATAAAGGTGTTTAATAAGTAATTTAATTCCATATAAACAGCTGTTCCTTCTGTAAACAACCATGTGTTTGGAAATTATATAGACGCATTTACTGAAAAGTAAATAATTTTGTTAATATAAGATCCGATCTATCTTATAACAGTTTCCATTTTATACCTGCAAAACTAACATATCTAGCACATAACAGTTAAAAAAATATCATTAAAATGGAAAATATTCTACTTCATGACATTCGTCACTAGCATATCTTTATTCAGGTGTTTAAATGAACCATCCAAGAGACCTTATAATTATTGGTCTGAACATACTTTTACATTAATATTTAATTTACGCTGATTCTATATATAACTAATAATAGGAAAAAATATAATAACAGTAAATACAGTAATACAAAGAATATAAAATAACAGAACGTGTTCAATAACAAAGGGTGTCCAAAAACAGGAAGCCTGTAACAAAGAGGTTCACCATATAACATAGAGCATTTAACAACAGGAAATATATAAACGTATATAACGAGAGCAAAATAAAATAAAAATCAATCAATTATTTCTTAATCTTGACGATAACTACAACTATTTTAGGCCAGAGAGTGTATTTGTTTAATAATCAAAACAGAAATCGGTAAAGAATTTATAAGATTCCCTAATTATAAAATTTTAACAAAAATATATTCTAAATTCTTACTTTAAAAAAGCATAACATAATCTAACTTTTCCAAACAAGGTAACTGGCATTTTGTATATTTTGTGTAACTAACATTGAGAGTTCTAGTACAAAGAAAGGCAAACATCCTTTCTCTTTTATTGTTAGTGGAGTAAATAATACATACGTTTATTCTTAGAATTTTAAAAGGATGTTTATAAATTCAGGGTTTGAAAAAAAATTACTTGTCGTTATTTGCTTGTTTCGCTATTCTAGGGCTATCTGCGCTAACAGTTTTAATTTTGAAAATATAGACTAGAGAGAAGGAAACAAATTCAACACCACCCACCGCCAACACTTGGACTACTCTTTTATCAACAAATAATGTATTGACCGTAATAGTATAACATCCCCCATCAACCCACTGCTGACAGGGCGATCATATTCGGTGACGGGGCTTGCAAGTCTAGTGTCCTAACCATCATGTGACGTCACTGTAATTATTATGATAAATCAAGAAAATGATTTGCTTCTAGCGCCAATTTTCACAGTTGGTATTATTAATAAATAATGATATTCAACAATTTAGATAAACTACTGAAAGCATGTGATATACAGCACATAGTTTAACATTTTAGTGTGTGTTACTGATTTTACTAAACGTTTCAAATCTTGAAACATTTTTAATGCGTTTAAAGATAATTATTAGGCGTAGTTTTTTTTTTGATTGTTTGAAGTTGTACTTAAGCTACACAATGGGCTATTTGTGCTCTGCCCACCACGGGTATCGAAACCCGGATT